GGCTCAACCCAAGAACCTCAATGTCAATTTATTTATTTATTTATTTCTTCACGGTTGCCACAATCTGTACTTTCGCCGAAACCATGTCACGGTTTTGCTGCATCAGAACCTTCCTCAGAGCAAGGACGTAGAAAATATACTTGGAACAATCTGTTTACATGATCGCCGACACCATCGTCGCCGACAGTTATTTATTTATTGGCTAAGCTTCGCCGAGACATCGCCGATGATATTGTTGCCGGTTTATTTATTCTTTTTGATGTCGATTCTGAACCCGATGACCATTCTGAAGTACTTCCTTTATTCGTAGGATGCATCGTTAATTTCATTGTTTCGTATCTAATCTGCATGTTTCAGGATTCAGTTCCTGCCGGATCATATAATGATCCATTCTTGTCTAGTGTGTGAGTAAGTTGTGTGTGTGAGAGGAAGTTGTGTGTGAGCAAGTTGTGTGTGAGTAAGTCGTGTGTGGACAAGTTGTGTGTGTGTGTGTGACTCATCTGTAGAGATGTAAAACTTCGACGTTTGTTCGTTTTTTGTTTATGCAGGGGGCATGCGGCCATCATGCAAACGCATGCCAACGAAGCTATGCATGATGGTGGAAGCCGGGGCTGATCACCCTGGTGTACCTGCATTGTTGTGACTACCTGTTGTTCAGGGTTTGCTTCCATTCAATTGTCAATGTCTGGTGATGGGAAGAGGCTCAACCCAAGAACCTCCAAGTCAATTTTTTTCTTCACGGTTGCCACAATCTGTATTTTCGCCGAAACCATGTCGCCGATGTATTTTGCTCATTTCGCCGAAACCACATCGCCGATTGTATTTTGATTTTTTCGTCAATATCATGTCGCCAATGTATTTTGATGACGTTTTTGGACATGGAGACCATGCAGGAGAACTTCTATTATTTGAAGATGCATCGTTGATTTCTTTGTTTCCTATCTAATCTGCATGTTTCAGGATTCAGTTCCTGCCGGATCACTCAAATGATCCATTCTTGTCTAGTGTGATTCCTATGGTGACTCCGACATGGTGCCATAGGGCCAATTGAGGCAACCCCAGTTGGGGTCAATGTCGACTGAATTGACTTCCGAATTTACACTTTTGAATTAGTAATTCGTTTAAGTAATGTGCAACAGATGGCCTTACCGTTTTGTGCCTTTGACGAAGTCCCGCGGCTCCTGTGGTCCCAGGGATTCCTCGCCGACGCATTTCTTCATCTTTGAAGCTGCTCTGAACATTCAGAAACCTCCTTCTTTCGCAGCAACCTTTGCAGTTACATTACATGAGACAGAACGCAGGCAGGTACACGATCTTTAGGTGTGGTCTTCTTTCTTTTGATGGTTCTCTGGTGAGGTCAAACATATTGTGCACCTAATTCGCTGGAACTTGAAAGCCGTTTATGCCTATTGTGGCTGACCTGAACACGGGCCTGGAGTGGCACAACGCACGACTTCTAGGTTTTAGGAACTGAATCCTGTTTGTGACATTTTCAACCAAATTTCACTCATGAATGGCGGATGCAGCGTATCTACCTTTGATGCTCCTTGTCATTCCACGTTGTTCCTGGTTGGTCACATTTTTCGTCCCCTCAGCTTTTGGTTTTCTCAAATTTTCATCTGAGTTATTGTTTCACCCATGGAGAACAAGCGCGACGCAACTTCAGCGGGCTTGGGATGGCCTTTGACCTCGAATCGCGGAACCCACTCTACACTCGTTCCCGATGCAAGTACCATCGATGCCTCTACAAACCCGACCTCGACTCCTTCGGCATCTTTGGAACCAATGAGTACGTCTAGTGACCTAGCGGCAGCGGCACGTATGGACACATACTCAGCCCCTCCTCAACCTGCAGTTCCTTTCCCGACACACGATCCTCCACATTTCAGTGCTCACCGCCATGCACACTTTACCGCACGAGTGGTTCATCAGATTCACTTCAAGATCTTTACACACTCCAACAACGAACGTGAGCTATTTATTGAGGAGATACCAACTTCGGGAATTTCTAAATGTCGAGATCCTGAACACTTCTTCTATGGCCTCTCGGGAAATTGGGAATGGTCCTTGCAAACTGCAGATTATTGGCGCCATCATTTTGAAATTCCTCTACTACATGGGAACAATCCTTTTCGCAACGTAGCCATTGAGACGACTCCATCACCAGACGAAGCAGGACATGTCACTACTATCTCGGCTTTGGCCAGGCAGTTATCGGATTCACTGACGGCAGCTACGGCATCTGGGGAACTTAGCGACCCATGGAGAATGGTGGCACACATGAGCTTCCACGACGCGATCCAAGTTCTGCAGCAAGCTTCGAGCTCAACTTCTGAATAGACTGACAGCAGCCTTGTAAGTCACAATTTCGAAGGTTCACAACAATTCGTGCATCGACACGTAAGACCGCTATATTCTTCCAAAAATGAAACCCTGCTTTGGCAGGGTGTGTGTGCGACTCATCTGTAGAGATGTAAAACTTCGACGTTTGTTCGTTTTTTGTTTATGCAGGGGGCATGCGGCCATCATGCAAACGCATGCCAACGAAGCTATGCATGATGGTGGAAGCCGGGGCTGATCACCCTGGTGTACCTGCATTGTTGTGACTACCTGTTGTTCAGGGTTTGCTTCCATTCAATTGTCAATGTCTGGTGATGGGAAGAGGCTCAACCCAAGAACCTCCAAGTCAATTTTATTTCTTCACGGTTGCCACAATCTGTATTTTCGCCGAAACCATGTCGCCGATGTATTTTGCTCATTTCGCCGAAACCACATCGCCGATTGTATTTTGATTTTTTCGTCAATATCATGTCGCCAATGTATTTTGATGACGTTTTTGGACATGGAGACCATGCAGGAGAACTTCTATTATTTGAAGATGCATCGTTGATTTCTTTGTTTCCTATCTAATTTGCATGTTTCAGGATTCAGTTCCTGCCGGATCACTGAAATGATCCATTCTTGTCTAGTGTGTGGGCAAGTTGTGTGTGAGCAAGTTGTGTGTGAGCAAGTTGTGTGTGTGAGGAAGTTTTTGCGTGTGTGAATAAGTTGTGTGTGTGTGTGGACAAGCTGTGTGTGTGAGTAAGTTGTGTGTGCACAAGTTGTGTGTGGACAAGTTGTGCGCGAGCAGGCGGGCGGAGGCGGAGGAGGAGGAAGCGCGGGAGTGCCCAACCAAAAACAAGAACCCCACACAAAGATGTGGGGAAAAACATCAAAACCAACGGACCGCGACCGCCGCACACACGAGATGCCCTCCGTCGCCGCCTGCAGCCACTTTACACCGAAACACACATGGTTTCGTGCTCCGGCTTCCTCCCCAAAGCAAACCCCATGCAACATCCATGCAGCCATTACAATGCGTTTTGCAGCGCCAGGTGGCAAACCCGCATCTATCCACGCACATGGCAACAGAACGTGACAACAATCATGCAGCCATTCCACTGCGATCAGCAACCACAGATTCCAAAACACCCTATAACTACGCACACACAAACGCATCCAAAGCAGCTTCAACCCACCGTTACAGCGTGGCAACAAAAAAACACCAAAACGAACGGCCCACACCCACGTCACACACGAGCTGCCCTCCATCGCCGGCTGCAGCCACTTTACACGGAAAAACACAAGGTTTCGTGCTCCGGTTTCCTCCCCAACACAACCCCCATGTAACATCCATGCAGCCATTCCAATGCGTTTTGCAGCATCACGTGGCTAACTCGCATGTGTCTACTACGCACATGGCAACGGACCATGGCAACAATCTACAGCCATTTTACTGTGATCTGCAGCAAGCGATTCAACAAGCGCATGGAACTACGCACGCATGAACAACCACACGTTGCAGAACACGAAGGGAGAATCAAAAAACATCAAAACGATCGCAGCCACACCCGCCGCACACACAAGGTACCCTTCATGGCCCCCTGCAGCCACTTTACACTTTACACGGAAAAACACACGGTTTCGTGCTCCGGCTTCCTCCACAACAAAAGCCCCGTGCAACATTCATGCAGCACCCTTCGTCAGATGTATTGTTGTGTGATGAGCTGTTATGTTATGTATTGTTGTGTGATGTATTGTTTTGTGATGTATTGCTATGTGATGTATTGTTGTGTGATGTATTGTTATGTGATGTATTACTGTATTGTTGTGCGAGGTGTTGTTATGTGATGTGTTGTTATGTGATGTATTGTCACCACTTCACCACCCTTTGTCAGATGTATTGTTGTGTGATGTGTTGTTTTGTGATGTATTGTTATGTGATGTATTGTTGTGTGATGTATTGTTATGTGATGTATTACTGTATTGTTGTGCGAGGTGTTGTTATGTGATGTGTTGTTATGTGATGTATTGTCACCACTTCACCACCCTTTGTCAGATGTATTGTTGTGTGATGTATTGTTATGTGATGTATAGTCTCACATTTCTATTTATCCGTAACTCGGAAGATTGCTTCCCAACTTCCTTTGATAAATAGTTTTGTACATAAAAATAGATATAGTAATGCATATGTATAATATGCGCAAATCTAGATTCGAGGGCATAGGCTATCAGCACAACTTCCACCAGTTGATTTGACCTAAAACCAGATTGACTTTCTTGCACATGAGAGAAAGAAAGAGGGGAACAGCAAAAGCACTCATTGGACATGCTTATGCCTATGTTGTGTCTATATGTGTCTATCCCTGCGGGTCCACTTACGTGCAACAAACATTGTCACAGCTACATCAAGGACAGGAAGAATGGCAAGAGGCACAACAGAACAGGAAGATGAATAAGAAGGACAAGCCATGACCCTGGCTGTGAACTCGAAGAAGCTGTGACGGCTGTCACCCGTGCATCAGCGTGCCATTGCACATGTGACGCTCATCATAAAGAATAAAGGAACAAATGACCATTACGTAGACCATGCAACCCAGACCCCAATCATCCCCAGCCATACTACAAGTCATTTGAATGTGAATCCAGTCAAACATGGGCGCCCATGAAGTTGCTCCTGCCTGCTGCCACATGGCACCGGTGAAGATCCGAAAGCATGGGCCAAGGCTGGTCTGCCTGCGTCACGCTTTGCATGAAGCACAAGCCTTGCCATCTCATGCCCCCATCGTAGTAAACCCCCCAAAAAACGGAACCCCGAAATTGGCTCAGACCCACGACTAGACAATGGAATATTATATGCAAAAATGCGAGATGGCGCCTTTCCAATATTGGCTCCTGAAGATTCCAGTGGCCTGGGACTGGGACTTTCTGGAGAACTTCAAGTTGGATCCCACAGTGTCAAGTTTTTGCAATATTAATATCTAAATGTGTGGCAAATTCTTGGAGCTTGCCTGCAGTCTCAACAACTACGCCATCCCTACTTCTTCCCATTGCACAAACTCCCGCGCAGGCCCGCTGTTTTTGAATTTCCGAAACAATAGACCTTAAAACGTTAAACCCAAAGCTTAAAAAACCCACTCTGAGCCCAAAAACTGAAAACCCTACCCTGAACCCGAAACCCATAAACGCAAAAAACAGCAACAAAAAAACAAGGGAAAAGCAACTTCTCTGAACCATCTCTGGACCCTGCGCAACATTCTCAATTAAAATGCGCGGGCAAAGTCCATGTATTACTCATAAACAATATATATATGTGTGTAAATATGTATATATATATGTATACATATATAGATATATATATATATACATATATATATATGTATACATATATGTATATATATATGTATATATATGTATGTATACATATATACATATATATTTATATATATATTGTTGATTTTCACGTTAAACAAATAGGCATAGAGAAACAAAAAGAGAAACATGCCTACAGGAAACATCCGGCGAGTCACCTCTCGGCGGCTGTCGCTGAAGGTGAAGCAATCGCTGTAAGGCTGGACGTTGGTAGAGCCGAGCAAACGCCGCCTACGGACGATGGGAACGGACCTAGGAGGAAAATGGTTGGTGAAACCATGGGAACAAATTGGAACATGAGGAAACCATGGGACTCATACTTTACTTTGAGTGATCCCCACCATGGCATTTCAAGCTCTCGCAGTTGGGGTCCTGGCCCTCGCGGTTGAGGCGCTCGCGGTTGAGGTCCGGTAGCGCCAACTGCGACCTGGAGCTCGTCTAGCCCTCATGGTCGAGGTCCGGGAGTGGGAAGCGGTTGAGGTCCGGCAGTGCCCACTGAGATCTGGAGCTCGCGGTTGAGGTCCGGCAGTGCCTGGAGGACGAGGAGAAGGATAAGGAGGAGGAAGAGGAGGATGGGATGCACCTCTTATAAAATCTAGAGACCCTCACCTGGTAGGTGGGGGAAAAAAAACAATCGAAATTCTAACTCTTGTTCTTTTCCAGGAGGAAACCATGGGAAACCAATGGTCTTGGGGTCCCCATTTTCAGAAACATCCAAATATTTTCGTCGCGGAGGGAACGTGACAATTATTGATGATGACGACAAGAATAAATGGTTTGGAAATTGTTCGGAACATGTTTACCAATGCTTGCTGGCCTCGTTGAGTCACTCAGACCCGCTTAAGAAGAGTCAAGCCCCATGGTGACACCGCAAAAACGTCAAGTCACTCATGTTTGCACAAAGTCATTTGCAAAACAACATGTGTGCATGTGTGTACCGCCAGGCCGGGTGCCGCCCAGAGGTTTATCACATCACCATTTGTTTGGGGTTTGCTTGGGGGTTGTTTAGGGTTTATCTAGGGTTTCATTCAGGGTTTGTAAGGTTTCTACCAGGGTTTTAATGAAGTTTTACTTTCAAGGCCCACTTGGGGGTTCATGTCAGATTTAGGTTTTCGGGTTTTGGATTTAGGGTTAGGGTTTATGGTTTTGTGCGTTTGGAAACAAATCCCGTCAGCCATTCGGCCATTCCGCCGATATCCCAAAATGCATAAAACACTGGCCCTGCGCAGTCAAAACGCACTTCCCCTGGCAGCACCCCCGTCCTGGCCGTGTATGTATATTTCCGGCAGAACCTAACGTTCGCCCATGATGACATAATATGTCATTTTTTCCACGGTTTTAACACATGTTTCATCCACGGTTCTAACCGCCTTGCAGGGATGGACGGTACACTAGGTGTGGCCCCTCGCCATGCGGACGACACAAAATTTGCTTCATAGCTCGACAATTTGCGGCAACAACCTTTCGCAGACTTCGTGCAGGGTCCGTGGAAAAGAAGGGCCAGTTCGTGCGAGAAAACACAGGCTCCGGGCAACGTCCGGTTCTGTGCGGTATATCATTCCCCCCTACCCTGTGGTACTCGAACATGGCCAGTGGGCATCCCCCAATTTTATCCAATATTCAACAGGTAAATCATCTATAAATAAATGGATGATTTAGATGGCGGCCAGGTCCCAGTCCATGGTCCAGTTCACAATCCCTAAGAAACCAGGTGAATAATCTACTAAACTGACCATGACCATCTGGATCTCCTCAGTTTGAGGCCTTTACATTGTCAATCGTAAAAGATGACAAAAAAAAACAGTAACTTCAAGTAACCCATCAACAATAGCCTGAAGTTCACCATCCATCGAGCCTGCGGACTGCGGATGTGGGCGGGTAGGCTGAAGCCAAGCCCGGGGATACAAGTAACCATCCAAATTAGAGATCATTTCCAGGTGATTTGACCATATGGCAGTTTTGTATAGTTGTATTCCAATTACCCTCTAGAAATCAAAGGTGGCTTGCTGGAAAATCCCCTGTCAATTGCGCTTTTCATGGGAAAATCATCTAGAAATGGCTGGATTTTCAAGCAAGCCACGTTTGACTAGCAGAGGGTAATTGGCAGATGGATCCACCAACCACACCTTGGCACAAACATAGAAGCTTGACGCTAATGACCAAAATGCAGTAGATACTAGCAGAGTTTTCATTTCAACCCACGCCCAATGGGTCAATGGCTGTTTTTTGAGGTCGATACCGCACCGCAGGCGTCCTCGCCTTCTTGTTCCAAAAGTTCCATCAAAACCAAGGCGTGAGATGCTGCCTGCCGCACTTTGAAGCCATGGTTGTTCAGCCCCAAAATTTTTGGGGGGATCCAATTCTGGGAGGATCATATTATCCCTCAAGCTAATACGGCTCAAAAATGGAGTATACCAAGGGACCCACACATTTGGCAATAATTCTATAAGCCATAGCTAATGATCATGAAATAGTCTATACTAAACCCCTGCAAGACAGCAAGGTCACACGATTCGGAAACTAAAACCGCAGATTCGGAAACTAACGGGCACGCGGATTCGGAAACTAAGATACGCAAAACTAAAACCGCGGATTCGGAAACTAAGATTCGGAAATTAAGATTCGGGAACTAACAGACACGGATTCAGAAACTAAGATTTGGAAACAAAAAACAGATGATTCGGAAACTAAAAGCGCAGATTCGGAAACTAGAAATGTGGATTCGGAAACTAAAACCGCAGCTTCGGAAACTAAAACCGCAGATTCGGAAACGGACACAGACGCGGATTCGTAAACTGTGATTCGGAAACTAATACCGTGGAGTCGGAAACTAAAACCGCAGATTCGGAAACTAAGATTCGGAAACTGAAAGCGCGGATTCGGAAACTGAAACCGCAGATTCGGAAACTAAGATTCGGAAACTGCAAGCGCGGAGTCGGAAACTGAAACCGCAGATTCGGAAACTAACAGACGCGCGGACTCGGAAACTAACGGGCACGCGGATTCGGAAACTCAGCTTCGGAAACTAAAACACGCGGATTCGGAAACGAACATTCGGAAACCAAAACTAACATTCGGAAACTAAAGCCTTCAAGATCAGAGTCACTTGACGCACCAGGTGATAAAACAACATGACATGCTGATCAACAAACGATCTTCCACTCAAAGGTCTCTTGGCGATGAGTGTCAATGACGTTTCACAATGTAATCTCTGAAGTTTCTTGGATATCATCTGATCCCTGTGGGCATTCCAAGTCAATGTGAAGTTCCATGCGGGTGGGAATTTTGATATCATCTGATCCTCGTGGAAAGTCCAAGTCAATGTGAAGTTCCATGGGGGTGGGAATTTTGATATCATCTGGTCCTTGTGGACATTCCAAATCAATGTGAAGTTCCATGGGGGTGGGAATTTTGATACCATCTGATCCTTATGGAAAAGTCCAAGTCAATTTGAAGTTCCATGGAGGTGGGAATTTGGAAATATCATCTGATCCTTGTGGACAGCCCAAGTCAATGTGAAGTTCCATGGGGGTGGGAATTTTGATCTCATCTGATCCTTGTGGAAAAAGTCCAAGTCAATTTGAAGGCCCATGGGGGTGGGAATTGGGATATCATCTGATCCTTGTGGACAGCCCAAGTCAATGTGAAGTTCCATGGGGGTGGGAATTTGGATATCATCTGATCCTTGTGGAAAGTCCAAGTCAATTTGAAGTTCCATGGTGGTGGGAGTTGGGATATCATCTGATCCTTGTGGACATTCCAAATCAATTTGAAGTTCCATGGGGGTGGGAATTTTGATCTCATCTTATCCTTGTGGAAAAAGTCCAAGTCAATTTGAAGGCCCATGGGGGTGGGAATTGGGATATCATCTGATCCTTGTGGACAGCCCAAGTCAATGTGAAGTTCCATGGGGGTGGGAATTTTGATATCATCTGATCCTTGTGGACATTCCAAGTCAATGTGAAGTTCCATGGAGGTGGGAATTTGGATATCATCTGATCCTCGTGGAAAGTCCAAGTCAATGTGAAGTTCCATGGGGGTGGGAATTTTGATATCATCTGGTCCTTGTGGACATTCCAAATCAATGTGAAGTTCCATGGGGGTGGGAATTTTGATACCATCTGATCCTTATGGAAAAGTCCAAGTCAATTTGAAGTTCCATGGTGGTGGGAATTTGTATACCATCTGATCCTTGTGGACAGCCCAAGTCAATGTGAAGTTCCACAGGGGTGGGAATTTGGATATCATCTGATCCTTGTGGACATTCCAAATCAATGTGAAGTTCCATGGGGGTGTGAATTTTGGTATCAGTGTGGACAGTCCAAGTCAATGTGAAGTTCCATGGGGGTGGGAATTTTGATATCATCTGATCCTTGTGGACATTCCAAATCAATGTGAAGTTCCATGGGGGTGGGAATTTTGATCTCATCTTATCCTTGTGGAAAAAGTCCAAGTCAATTTGAAGGTCCATGGGGGTGGGAATTGGGATATCATCTGATCCTTGTGGACAGCCCAAGTCAATGTGAAGTTCCATGGGGGCGGGAATTTGGATATCATCTGATCCTTGTGGAAAGTCCAAGTCAATTTGAAGTTCCATGGTGGTGGGAGTTGGGATATCATCTGATCCTTGTGGACATTCCAAATCAATTTGAAGTTCCATGGGGGTGGGAATTTTGATCTCATCTTATCCTTGTGGAAAAAGTCCAAGTCAATTTGAAGGCCCATGGGGGTGGGAATTGGGATATCATCTGATCCTTGTGGACAGCCCAAGTCAATGTGAAGTTCCATGTGGGCGGGAATTTGGATATCATCTGATCCTTGTGGACATTCCAAATCAATGTGAAGTTCCATGGGGGTGGTAGTTTCTGAATTGCGATAGCTTCTGAATCGCTATAGTTGCTGAATCGTAGTTTCTGAATCGCGATAGTTTCTGAATCGGGATAGTTTCTGAATCGCGATAGTTTCTGAATCGTAGTTTCTGGATCGCGATAGTTTCTGAATCGCGATAGTTTCTGAATCGCGATAGTTTCTGAATCGCGATAGTTTCTGAATCTTGATAGTTTCTGAATCTTGATAGTTTCTGAATCGCGATAGTTTCTGAATCGCAATAGTTTCTGAATCGTAGTTTTTGAATCGCGTTAGTTTCTGAATCGCAATAGTTTCTGAATGGGTGGCAATAGTTTCTGAATCGTAGTTTCTGAATCGCAGTTTCTGAATCGCCGATAGTTTCTGAATCGGCTTTGGATCAAGACAGCAACACTGGGGTTGAAAAAATGCCTCACTGTCACCAACATGGTAGCAACCCTGGTCAGTGGGAAGCTTCCTCGGAGAGTGGACTGGTCACAGGCATGTAGTTTGAGAAACATTGCAGCACCCCCATACAGCAATACGTTTCACCACATCACGTTATCTTCCCAGAACAAAAACAAAGAAACGTCCACCAACAAAGTATAGCGACCCTGAAAAAAATGAAAAAGAAATCTAGCGTCTCAATCCAAATGTTTGGACATCCGTGTTCAAACAGGCCTCTGGACGTCGACTCGTTGGGTGAAGGGGAGAAGAATCACACCGCCTGTCGTTCATCCCAATCAACCAATGTTTCACCAAGGAACGAAGGGATATATGAGGGGTTGCTAAAGTTGGGTCCCCAAAACCAGTGGCTTCCCTGATTTCAAACGACTCAAATGACCAATTCTGCATGATTTTCCGGTCCCCCCTTAACACATACATATATATATATACCTATAGCCACCGCAGGCTAAAATTTGAGCCCGAGTGTGTTTTGACCTATTTTTCTGCCTGACCCTGGAAATCCCGCCTGACCCTAAATCCTCGCCTGTAGGGAAATTTGGGCGTTTTTGTTTTGATTCACTGTTCCGCATTTCTGCTTCGCCATTCCTGGACAAACGAGTCCGCAAAAAACAAACTATATGGCCAGTAGATAAAACCTTTCCTCGCGAATTCTCGCCTGTTTCCCGGGTATTCCCGCCTGTTTTCCGGGTATTCTCGCCCGACTTGCTTTGACACAATTTTTCAAAACTTGCCTGAACTGCTGCAAGAGAAAATTCAAGCCCTGATTGTTCGGGGAAGGTGTCTTTAGACCTACTTTGAATTGCAATTCTTGCCTGAATAGCATTTCTTGCCCGAATTGGCAATCAGGCTATTTTTCAGCCCGATCACAGAAAAGGCTACTATTGAAGTTCAGCCCCAAATTTCTGCTTGTTGGAGGCCGCAGGTATATATATCCCCAGTACATTATTCCTCATATAAACACATCTCTATGTATACATAACATATAATATGTTTAGGTATAAAACATGTCATTAATATGTATCAGTACCCTGGCACTGCCACCAGTGTCCGTCCACCTCAAGCGGCTCAACAACCATGGAGCCACCGGCTTCGACGTGGTTCCCATGGCCATGGCATCCAGTACAGCTTTGTAGGACCTGGGGATGTTTCGAAAAGGAACTAAAAATCGAAAAGGGATCCGGATCCGTCTTGGCACATGATGATGTATAAATATGGTATTGATATTTATATAGATGTATATAGCGACCGACTTACACTTAGAAACAAATATTTTCCAAAATTTTGGAGCAAACACTTAGAAACTCCAAAATTTATCAAAATTTTCAGTTTCTAAGTGTTGATTTTAAAAAAAAACTTGGAAATGCCCTCAACACTTAGAAACCTCCTTTGGGGTTATGTTTGCTCCAAAATGTAGGTCGGTCACTATATCTGAACAAACACATATAATACATATATATATATATATTAAATATGCGTATATATATATATCATGTGCGCATGTGTGCCTTGTTAGAATTCATATTCAAGAAGCAGAGTTCTAAGTGTTAGGTTACCCAAGGAATACGACCACAGAAATCTTGCAGCGAAGCATCCCAAGTTGTGAACATATTTCATTCAAAAACTCTGTTTATTTGTGATTTTTCAATCCATATATCCATACATACATCCATACATACATCCACGCATATATACACATTTATGGATAGTTTGAACCTTTTCCAAAGATATGTAAATATATATATACACAATATTTATAAATATATAGTCGTATGTTATTTTGATGCTTTTTAAAATTCATATTCAAGAAACAGAGTTTCTAAGTGTTAGGTTACCCAAGGAATACGACCACAGAAATCTTGCAGCGAAGCATCCCAAGTTGTGCACATATTTCATTCAAAAACTCTGTTTATTTGTGATTTTTCAATCCATACATCCATACATACAGTCATACATACATCCACACATACATGCACATCTATTGATAGTTTGAACATTGATACTTTTCTAGGAAACTGATTTTAAAAAATGATTTTAAAAAAATGATACTTTTCTAGGATATTGATAAAACAAAAATGAGAAAACATGATACTTTTCCAGGAAATTGATTTTAAAAAATGATAAAACAGATGATACTTTTGGTGCCCAAAAAGTACGTATCATTTTTTGCATTTTTGAATTTTCTAAATGAAAAATATGATGATTTGTTTCTAAGTGTTAATGACAAAATGATGTTAGAATTAGGGTAGTTTCTAAGTGTTAGTGACAAATATGATAATTTGTTTCTAAATGTTGACTTGCTTGGTTTCTAAGTGTACACTTAGAAACCGGTAGGTACCATTTTGCCGCTATTGTTTTTGAAAACTTTTTCCAAAATTGTTTCTAACTGTAAGTCGGTCGCTGTATATGTGTATATGTATACATATATATATATGTGTGTGTGTGTCCGTACATATACGTATATATAATATAATATAGTACAATACAATACAATACAATACAATACAATATAATATAAGTAATATTATATTTTATTTTATTTTATTATATTATATTGTATATATATATACATACAAATATAATATCTACATCAATGTATAAATATTGTATACATCATTGTACATCTATGCAGGTATTTGGATATCATTCTCGAATCAGAAAAATCAACCCCGTTTGCCCCCACGCTGCCCCGGTCTCCACAGTGTCCACAACAAGATTCAACAAGGATCAACTGGTCGGCGTTTTTCATGTCGAAAAAAAGGGCTTCCCTCCAAGGGGTGTACCATCAAGGGAAAATCACGATGGAGCATGAAATTTCAATGCTGCCCTACTCTTTAACTATGGAAAATCACCAGGTTTAGAGCTAAATCATCTATAAATGGGCTATTTTCCATAGCTATGTCAATTTACCAATACACCCAACCCAAACGGACTGGCTCTGCGATATTTTTCAGCTGACTTCTAGCCAGTGAATTCAAGCGATGATTTCCACTCTGAATGAGAGTCCCTGACTGCCGTGAGGCCAGTTTCATTCTCCTCTGGGAGAGGTTTCCAAAGTCACGGGGGTACCCCCAGTCCCCATCCAAGTCATGGATGACCATAACTAGTATTGAAACCCATGGTGACGACTGGGGATCCAAACTATTTAAGAAACCATCATATAAATCCATATGAGTTGGGTACAAAATTACTTACTGCTCGCAATGGACATGGCCGAAGTGGGTGGTCCCCTATCGGTTGTGGATTTTTTCACACAAATTTGAACATCCCAAGTCCACTCCTTGGCGAGGCAAAATGTTCCAGCGGGAAATGTTGGCAAAATTTGACTGGGCATGGCCAACTGATTACCAAAGGGTAAGCAACAGAAATGGGCTAAGCAACAAAAAATGTGGATCTAAGCATCAAACATAGGGGATGTTCACCAACGAAAATCGGGACTCAACTTGTAAACATGCCAGTCCTTTGCCTATTGTGAATATTGATTTTCTATGTCTGCTATCGGATTCCCATGATAAGCCCTATCAAACGGTCGGTCCCTGGCCTTGGTATTCAGGCACAATCCTTCAAACGCGGAAGAACACCGTCGGAACGCACTTTATAAAATTCTCTATACATAAGGACATGTTATATCATTTGTCCCATTTGTCCACTCTAAACAGTTCGCTCACTGTAGATAGCGGCTCTCTTCCTTTTCATCTTCTACCCTGGCACGATCCATTGCCCACAGAAAGTTAGCCTCTCAGCGCATCTCAGGCCCTGAATGATTTTAGCATCCCATGCCTACCTATGCTGTTGAGCGATGTCATGACCACGACTTTAACAGGAAAACCAAAAAATCATTCGCCATGATGATCATGTGTCAAGGAGCTGATGAAGCGTGGGAAGATTCCGGGCGCTATACAAAAAGGTCACAAGGCGATGCTTCGCCCGCTGGCCATTAGGGGCGCAGGCAGCACCCCTCCTGGTGAGCTGCAATCAAAAAATTCGGAGAGCGTCCATCAGAATAGTCTTCAACTCGGGGTTATGTACCCAGGAGAAGAGGAATCCCAGAATAACTTTCGCATGCCAGGTTCTCGCATCCATACTGTGCTTCCCAAGACTGACTCAATAGCTTTCCAACCTTTACCATTGCCATCTACAAGGGAGAACAGGGCAGCAACTTTGAAAGTTACTTAATAACACGTGGGATCAAACTGAATTTGCCTCCCACTCGCAAGTCGCGAGCAAATGTGGAGACTTGAGTCACACTGGTGATGAATTGCCTTTCAAAAATATGTGCCAAGGTGTCGCGCCGGGATTGGCCGCTGCTTTGCAAGGTCTCGGCTTCGCACACAGGGACCCAGTGGCAGGTAGGCATGGTTCCCTATTGTTTTTGAAGCAAGGTCCTGATACTACAAAATCTGCAAGCCAATGAGCATTGACCTAGGCCACCCGGATGGTATAGCCATCCTGGGGTGAAAAGCCAAGATTCTGGAAGCTAGCAGGGTTACAGAGCGTTTCAAAGTCATGAGAGCTTTCCTGGGATCCACTGGTGCTAAGCATTTGGTCTTGCCTTAAACTTCAAATTATAGCGCAGATAGTCCCGACTTCCGCACTTCTCCCAAGGACGAATACTGAAATGATGTAGAGTGTGGCCAAGGTTGTGAAAATTTCCTGTGCACTTGGAGGCTTTCAGCGAAAAGGATTTCGTTCGGACTGCAATGGCATAAAAAGAAGGATGTTGGGTAACCATCAAATCAACTATTTTGGGGGGGCACCTGTGAATTCGTCCGAGGGTTTTGCAGCTCGGCGATTGGTGGCAATTCAATGGAAAAGGCGACAAAGAAGACTTAGGCTAACGCTGGCTTGCATATCCCCAGGAGACATTGTCGGTGCATGGCAAAAAGAGTGAATTCATTCAATAACACATCCTGTAATCCATAGATTTTTAGACAAAGAAACCTGGGATCCAGCAACCAGACAAAGCCAAAAATAGTAATAATTCCCAATGTGCATCTCGACAGCAATTGGTCGTAGGCCTCGCTGGAATGCTCATTGAGAGTCGACGGCCAAAGCCATTGCTCATCGCGCAGTGTAGGTGTGTCTGAAAATAGGGTTCATGTTTCGCGTCAAATGGTATCAAATTGCCATGTTATGGTGGCAAACCCCATTTGCAGACATACTCATTTTGACCGTTCTAATATAGCAGCCAAAATAGCTGACGGAAAGAAATCCTGCTGGCCTTAGAAATAGCCTCGCAGGTTGCCCACCCAAGACTCCAGTTGGACATACCATCATAGCAACTTTGTTGAGCAATAGGCTGGAAGTTTGCACACAAATCCTGGAAGTTTGGGCAGATGGCAAAATCCTGAAACGCCTTTCGGAGAACTCCAACCACTGTGTCGTTAAATCCAAGTGATCCTCCGAAAGTTACAAAGCATCCAGATATTCTCAGGCGGCTGAATTCTCAAAGACCTGTGACTCCTGGGAATCGACGGTGCTCTCCTTTCTGCCTACGGAGGAAACTCAACTGATGAAGTCCGAAATTTTGGTCCCAAAGACAGGGATCACCTGTCTGACATTGTTGGGGGATATTGGGTGGCGGGAGCTGTAGTTGACTCGTATAGCCGATGGGAAGTTTCTGCTGCGCAGTCAGATTGCTACGGGTCCATGTCCCATCATGGCATACCAAAGTGGACCATGACTGTGGCAGTCATGGCCATGGCTGTCTGCGGTTGGCCAAAAAATACGCAAAGAATTGCGTGTTCAAACTGGTTTAGCACTGAAAGTGATCCATTTTGTGGGTGGCGCCAGCCATTTGGAGTCACTCCCGTTTTTGGTGTTATCAATCACGGGTTGTCCCCACCACCCCTTCAACCCCTCAACACAAGGTGCAACTAAAGCGGCCTGCAGGACATTGACCACGCTTATTCCAGCATCTCGCCGGAATCAACCTCAGAAAATGTGCTGTTCAGCCCACTTCAATAGGGAGATTCGTCAAAAGACCTGAGATGAGAACGAAAGCCAGTGTTTTCGCTCGCTAAAAAAAACTCGGAAGGCGCTGGTTGTATTATATCTCAAAGCAAGGGAAAATGTTGGTTGGAAAGTCATGAGGAAGGTTAATTGAGTGGGTAAGTTATGATCATTGTTGACAATGCGATCTTGTTGTTGAGGACGCTTGGAGTTGGTTTGATTCTGCTGCTTCTCCTAAGCATTACATCTGTGATATTTGTTGTTCTCACCATATGCGGACACAGGCATGTCCCCTGCCCCGCAAGCACAAAGGATACCATGAAAAGGCCAACATGGTTGTATCGCGGCTTTACTTCCTACGAGCAAACTGAACGGTTGCGTAGCACACTCCTAGTGAAGAAGATATTGTGTCTGGTTTCCCAAAGTGGATCTGTGGGAAGGCATGTGGCTATGACTTTACCAGAGAATAATTCTGCTGACCTCAATAAGCCCTATGCGGAAACATGCCTCTTCCTTTCCCCGCATGTTGCTATGCAAAAAGGCAATACCACGAAAAGGCCAACATGGTTGTGTCGCAGCTTTACTTCCTATGAGCAAACTGAATGGTTGCGTAACTCACTCCTAGTGAAGGGGATATCGTGCCTGGTTTGAATCTGTGGGAAGGCATGTGGCTATGACTTTACCAGAGAATAATTCTGCTGACCCTCAATAAGCCCTATGCGGAAGCATGCCTCTACCTTTCCCCGCAGCGGTGCTATGCAAAAAGGCTATAACCACGAAAAGGCCAACATGGTTGTGTCACGGCTTTACTTCCTATGAGCAAACTGAATGGTTGCTTAACTCACTCCTAGTGAAGAGGATATCGGGCCTGGTTTGAATCTGTGGGAAGATATGCGGCTATGACCGTACAGGAGAAAGATTCTGCTGACCCTCAATAAGCCCTATGCGGAAACATGCCTCTACCTTTCCCCGCAGCAGTGCTATGCAAAAAGGCTATAACCAGGAAAAGGCTAACATGGTTGTGTCGCGGCTTTACTTTCTACCAGCAAACTGAGCGGTTGCGTATCACATGCTAAATGACAGGAGTCCACAACAAGGCATCAACTTTGATTGGTGGTCGTTTTAACAAAGGCGAGTTTGAGCTGGTTGCATTTTTGTCTCAAAGCAGGGGTAAATGTAGGTTGGAAAGTCATGAGGGAGGTTCATCGAGTGGGTAAGCTTGATCGAAGGAAGTTTAGAAGTCAAACTTCCGACAATATGGAGAGATGAAAAGCAGAGCAGGGAAGAGGCAGAGAGAAGAGAAAGATTAGAAGAGAGAAGATCAGAAGAGAAAGAGTCAGAAGAAAGAAGATGCAGATGCGCGAAAAGGTAGGAAAGTCGCGAAACACTGTGTTTTTCCAATGATTTGTGGCTCCGGAGGGTCGAAGAGTAGGCTCGCTAAAGCGGTGGGTGCGGAGCCAGCTGGCCACATGAGAGATGAAAAATTGCACGCCGTTGTGGCGCGAAGCACATTTGGAAGTAAAATGTGTTAAACACTGAGGGGTTCGGACCACTTTTGGAAGTTAAGATGTTGAAAAAGTGCACGCCGTTGTGGCGCGAAGCACATTTCCAAGTCAAAATGTACAAAACACGCCATGGTCGGACCACTTTTGGAAGTTGAGATGTCGAAAAAGTGCACGCCGTTGTGGCGCGAAGCACATTTCTAAGTCAAAATGTACAAAACACACCATGCTCGGACCACTTTTGGAAGTTGCGATGTCAAAAAAGTGCACGCCGTTGTGGCGCGAAGCACATTTCCAAGTCAAAATGTACAAAACACACCATGCTCGGACCACTTTTGGAAGTTGAGATGTTGAAAAAGTTCACGCCGTTGTGGCGCGAAGCACATTTCCAAGTCAAAATGTACAAAATACTAGGGGTTCGGACCACTTTTGGAGCTTCAGATGTCGCTTCACTAAACTACACTACACTACACTCCACTACACTACACTACACTACACTCCACTACACTCCACTAAACTAAATTACACTACACTACACTACACTACACTAAATTGCACTACACTACACTACATTACACTACACTACACCCCACTACACTACATTACACTACACTACACTACCTTCCACTACACTTCACTACATCACATTACACACTACAGCTACAACTACACAACTACACTCCACTACACTAAATTACACTACACTACATTACACTACACTACACTCCACTACACTACATTACACTACACTACACAACCTTCCACTACACTTCACTACATTGCACTACACTAGACTCCACTACACTACAACTACAACTACAACTACACAACTACACCCCACTACACTAAATTACACTACACTACACTACATTACACTACACTACATTCCACTACACTCCACTACACTACACTACATTACACTACACTACATTACACTGAATGACACTGCACAACAGATAGACAGGTAGACAGGTAGACAGATAGACAGATAGACAGACAGATAGACAGACAGACAGACAGATAGATAGATAGATAGATAGGTAATTAGATGAAAGAGAGAGAGAGAGGTAGATAGATAGATACATAGAAGATAGGTTGGTAGGTAGGTAGATAGTCAGAGAAAGAGAGAGAAAGAGAGGAGACCTCAAGCACCTTTCGGTCCATCAGTGGATTCGCTCTGCCATCCCTGATTCACAACAACCAATCTCTCCTATAGGTTTCCTATTTTTGAAACTTCCGCCACCGCCTTGTGCGGTACTACTGGTAGTTGTTGACTATGCGGGAGTGATCTTGTTGTTGAAGACGATTTGGGTTAAAGGCAGCGGTGTGTCGAAAGGTGCAGAAGGGTATAGTCCGGTGTGGTGAACAGCAGCAGGAAGGGGCCAGCGTCATCAAATTGCAATGCGGTACGTCACCCAGCAAAACACCCTAGAACACCACCTGATTTCAAGTTTCTTGTGCATTTCGGAAGCCGCTACCCCCCAGACCCCATATACTCTCACTACGTTCACAATAGAACCTTCAGCCGCTGCCTCCCTCCGGCTGGCTTTCGTAATGACCCAGTGGCAGCACAGGGTTAGCGAGAAAACGACTAGGAATTCACAAGATGTGGAAAGTCCGTGAGACATTGGAAGAGGCAAATGGCTTGCAGGACCCTTCCAAGGTAGGCGGATTGGGAATCTGAGGAAGATTTTCACTGACCATCCCATAGACATGAAAGGCCTTTCAGTCAACCAATATTATATTGCAGTGCTGAACACCACACCCAAACTCTTAAAGCGGGGCACAATGGGGAAGATGGCCCCAAGAAATATTTTTATTGACACAAAATGTCTCAAGAACGCAAATTTTCGGTCTACGACTACCCAAAACCCACAGGAATTCTTTCAGCCCAGATTCGAGACTCCATAAGGCAGAAGGGCAGGACGGAGAGCGAAAGACAACAGATCGCGCCCTCAGGGTGAGGTATGTCGATGGTCCGTCAGCGGGACAATCGGATGGGATGAACGTACATGAGCACTAGATTCACTAGATGCATTTGTTATATATTTTAATGTGAACAAAAAGATTCCAGGGATTTTGACCACGCTTCTTGTAGCCATAAACCTACCCTCAACCGCTTGAGATCTTATTGAAGTTCATGGGGCTCGGTCAGGACCCTCGAGTTGGCATAGTGCCAAAGCCAGCAGCTGGCAGCCACCAATATGTCAGCAGTCAAGCATCGGGCGCTCCTTCCACTTCTTTCTGGTCTAACATGATGATTCGAAACATCAAAACATCATCACCCTTCCCACTGGGTCCAAGGTACGGTTCGAAGTGCAGAAAGGTATTCTTGACCTCACATTGGACACGTTTTGTCAAAATAAGATGGCATACTTGGAGGGTCATCCCGCTTAGTAACTGGGCTTATACAGTAACCCAGTCATAGATGGGAAAACCCGAACCCCACTTGGAAAGGGTTTCCTAACCAGGGGTATACTTGCAAAGTGGGGAGATCCTCCAAGTATACTGCTTCATTCTTGTTGGAACGCTCGCAACATCAACATCCATCAGCTCACATCATCCTGAAGCCTAAAAGTTGGCCCAGCAACTGAAATATCGAGTCTTCCGTCATCTTCATCGCCCTCATCCTGGGCGAGAATTTTGGGTTCAAACAAATTGAAATAGAAAAAGTGAGGATACCAGGATACCCCAAACATGCCCTGTGTTGACAGGAAAAACATGGAACGGATCCCTAGAGTGCACGCTTCCGAGCTGGAAGATTCATCCACCACCTGAGCAAAGCTCGGAGTTCACCAGGTTTTTTTGGATCGCAAAGTGGATCCAAAACATCCCAAAACTCATCTTATAAGGTGGTAAACCCAACAAAGATAATTCTCCTAAATTCAGCAGAAATAGATAGAAATGGCTGGGATTTCAAGCATCCCAAATTGGAGGGTTTGTGGCAGTGGGTTTGACTGCATCACTCATGACACTGAGTCCACCATGTAGATGGTCATCCAAAGTGGTCCAGGAATCAAAAAAATCAACCTCTTGACTCTTGGTATGTTCGAACTCCTGGAAAGCATCCTTTTGGCCAAGATCATTGTGTCAACATCAAGTCGATGTTGGCTCCTGGTCTTATGTACCCCATTTTTTTCGGACACTATCCTCAAAAAAACATGTCTTAACCGGGCACTGGTGGAGAACCGAACTATGGGATTTTTAGACGTTCCAAAGCACCTGCACTGCGGACGGCTTCGGGGCATCGTTGAACTCCATTTCCTGGTGCCAAGTTTGTATTTAATAATAAATAAATAAATAAATATATATATATAATGTTATATATATATAATGTTATATATATATGAGAAAAGTTGGAAACCTGAAAATTATAAAGTGAACAAATCTCTTTAACATCCTGGAAGCACGTGTCTATTTTTTTTGGTGACCCCGATATTGAGGTCAAAGAATTGGTGGGAAAAGGAGATCCATTCTGCGGGCGAAGGGAGAAAATCCTTTAGAAAAACTGAACAGCAGCGGTTGCCATGCGGACATCTTCAGCCAGAACTTTCCGTGCCTGAAGAGCAACTCTGCTCCCATCCGTCAAATCATGCTGAGTGGAAGATGTTTCCTCAGCTTCTGCGGGTTGGTTCAAGACTCAGACGAAGCTTCCAGTTTGCAGCTCTTCCACAATTGCACCCTGCGCTTTAGATGCTGAACTTATGTATATCTTATGAGATGCGGCGCTCCGTCTTTGACAACGATACTATTCTAAGCACAGAGTTTGTGAAAGGATATTCCTTTTGCGCGGCTGGCATACCTGCCTGCCCCATCGCCAGCGAAAACTAACCCTGAAGACTTTCAAAGGCAGATCGAGATCCGCTCAAATGATTTCTTTCGAGGAATTACCAGAGAGCGTGTGTTGGGGCTGGATTTTGATTTGGGAAGAAGCGGTCTTTTGCGGTCACTTGCTCCAGCGGTCACTTGCGGTCACTTGCGGTCCCTTTCTGTCACTTGCGGTCACTCGAGTTGCTGCAAGTGACCGCAAGTGACCGCAAGTGACCGCAAGTGATTCTTTGAATCCCCTGGTGGCAAGTAAGTGCAAGTGAGCCCAAGTGACCTTTTGGGTTCCTTGAGTCAGGCAGCCCTTTGTAGCTAGCGGCTCTGGAAATTGATTTTGTTTGGCTGAAGCCTAGCACTGTTATAGTATCCCTGTTCAGTGCCCAAGGTTCACTTCTTACAAAATGGCAGAACCCAACCTTCACAGGTCTAAGTTTTTACTGCAAAATGGCAGGCTGAGCTGACACCCAGTTAGCCATAGAACCCCGTAATACCCTCCAAATGGCCCAGCTACTGCATGGTCCAACTTAAGCCCAACATAAACCCCAAATGGCCCAACCGACACCCAAAGAAACGATCCCAAAACACCGCATCATGAAGATCCTTCTTATGCGGCCATTTTCCTCCCCCAGAAACCTCCATGGAACCCCATAATAACTCCCAATTAAATGGCCCGGCATTGGCCCAACAGGTCCCAAAACACCGCATCATTAAGATCCTTATGATGTGGCCACTTTCCTCCCCCCAATACCTCGATGCCATGGAACCCTATAATCCGCCGACCCCTGCCGACAGCAGGGAGAGCGCGTCAGAGAAGAGGGGACAAGAGGGGCAAGGCAAGAGGTTAGCTGCAAGAACAAGCGGGGCAAGAGCCAAGCGACAAGAAAAAGAAACCAGCGACGAAAAAAGAAAACAACAGGTAAGAGTCGCTGTGGTGAGGCCAAGGTTTTGGAGGCTTGAAGGCTGCAATTTGGAACTAGTTTCTTGTCGGTTCAGAAAGCGACGTTAGGCACAGGCAGCCGCAGGCCGAAGGCCTGGTCCGTTTTGGAAGCTCAACGACGTTAGGCACAGGCAGCCGCAGGCCAAAGTCCTGCATCGGCCCTCCGTGGCATGGTGTTTCGCTGGGGCGAAGGCAACGCTGTGAAGCTCGAAGGTTGCAATTTGGAGTTGAGAAAGCGATGTTAGGCAGAGGCAGCGAGGGCCTAAGGCCTGGCCTGGTCCATCCCTCCGTGGCATGGTGTTTCGCTGTGCTGAAGGTAACGCTTGAAGGCTGCAATTTGGAGCTGGTGTCGTGTCGGGTCAGAAAACGACGTTAGGCAGAGGCAGCCGCAGGCCGAAGGCCTGGTCCGTCCCTCCGGGGCATGGTGTTTCGCTGTGGCAAAAGGCAACGTTTTGGAGGGTTGAAGGCTGCAATTTGGACGTTTTGGATTTCGGAGGCCTGAAAGCTTGCAAAGTTGGAGCTGGTTTCTTGTCGGTTCAGAAAGCGACCCTCAGTGGCTTTGTGTTTCGGTGTGCCGAACGCAAAGGGTTGGCGGCTGCAATTTGGAGCTGGTTTCTTGTCGGAGTTTGAAGGCTGCAATTTGGAGCTGAATTTTCTGGAAAGCAAGGTTGAACACTTGCAGCCGCAAGCCGAAACCCCAGGACCATTGCGTTTCGATGTGGCGAAGGTTTCGCTGTGGCGAAGGCAACGTTTTGGAGGCTTCAAGGCTGCAATTTGGAGCTGGTTTCTTGTCGGTTCAGAAAGGCAGAAAGCGAATGGCAGAAGAACCGCACGTTGAAAGAAAAATTACGTAAATGATCATAAAATATCATGAATGAAGTCTAAATCGGGCGGTGGCCCCTTAATTCGGCTCCGCCGGCTCCCCACGAGTGGCTTGCCCTAGGAGCGTCCCAGAGCGACTATGGTGAGGAGGCGCCCCAAGCCGCCGACCCTCCGACCCGGGGCCCCGAAAAACATCACAAATCCTTAGTCTGTTGGGGGAAAGCTTTTTGGACAGAATTCGGGTCGCTCATAAGCGTCTCCAAGAGCATTCCCCCCCCGGTTTTGAGGGCACCTAAAATCGGGAAAAAGCGCCGTTTTGAAACATTTTTCGGACGACTTTTAACTTTTGACTTTTGCGGGAACAATGCAAAAATGCAGAAACTGCTGTAAATACCAATACTTTTTAGACTAGAGATGCACAAAAGACTGTAAATACCAGCGTTTTTGGAAGCAAGGCAAAATAAACACTGTAAAATACATCATTTTTGGCAAGTTGACCGCTTTTCGAACGTCAAGAAAACATGGAAGGCACACTGTAAATAGACTTGTTTTGGCAACTTTTGGACGCTGAAACGCTTGTATTTACGCAGTTTTTTGGCCGTGACAGTACCAAACCCCTATAAATTTCCGCATTTGTTGCACTTTTTGAACCGATTGTTTTGCCTTGATGAATGCCAAAAAAACGCTCTTATTTACAGATTTTCAAAAAATCGAAGATGGTGAAACCTGTAAATAACAGTGTTTTATCCACTTTCAAGGACTAAAACTGTGGTATTTACGCAGGCTCTTGCCATCTGACAGCGCAAAATGCTGTAAATTACAACACTTTGTGCGCTGTTTATGTTCAGTTTTTACACAAGCGATGCTTTCACATGTTCTTGGCATTCTTCAGCAAGAAACGACCTTCTAGATTGAAACTAGACGACAATGTGGCCCGAAAGAAAGCTGGAGGGAGGAGACGAGAAGATATCACACAAGAAAATATGATGATGAATGCTGCTGGTGAGGAGCTTTTACACAGACGCGTTTACACACAGAAGCTTTTACGCGCAGAAGCTTTTACACACACAGGGGTTTTACACAGAGAAGTCTTTACACAGAGCGGCTCTTAGACACAGAAGCTTTTACACACACACACAGGCTTTTACACAGAGAAGTCTTTATACAGACTGGCTTCTACACGCAGAAGCTTTTTAAGTCTTTACACAGAGCAACTTTTACGCACAGAAGCTTTTACACAGAGAAGTCTTTACACCAGACGATTTTGCACACAAAGGAGCTTTTACACACAGAAGCTTTTACACAGAGAAGTGATTACACAGAGAGCTTTTGCACACAGACGCGTTTGCACACAGAAGCGTTTACACAGAGAAGCCTTTACACAGGAGCTTTTGCACACAAGGGCGTTTACACACGGAAGCTGTTACACACAAACGCTGTTACACAAAGAAGTCTTTACACAGAGAGCTTTAATGCACAGGCGCTTTTACAGACAGAAACTCTTACGCAAAGAGTCTTTACGCAGAGAGCTTTTACACACGGAAGCTTTCACACACAGAAGTTTTTACACAGAGAATTCTTTACACGGAGAAGCTTTTACACGCGGAAGCTTTCACACACAGAAGTTTTTGCACAGAGAATTCTTTACACGGAGAAGCTTTTACACGCAGAAGCTTTTGCACACAGAAGTTTTTACACAGAGACGCCTCTGAGAAGCATTTACACAGAAGAGCTTTTACACACAAGGGCGTTTACACACAGAAGCTGTTAAACACAGATGCTGTTTCATTTTCATGTTCTTGGCATTCTTCAAAAAGAAACGACGTTCCAGATTGAAACTAGACGACAGCGTGGCCCGAAAGAAAACTGGAGGGAGGAGACGAGAAGATAGCACACAAGAAAATATGATGATGAATGCTGCTGGTGAGGAGCTTTTACGCAGACGCGTTTGCACACAGAAGCTTTTACGCGCAGAAGCTTTTACACACTGTGAGACACAGGGGCTTTTACACAGAGAAGTCTTTACACAGAGCGGCTCTTAGACACAGAAGCCTTTACACAGAGAGGCTTTTACACAGAGAAGTCTTTATACAGACTGACTGGCTTTTACACGCAAAAACTTTTACACCGAGAGAAGTCTTTACGCAGAGGAGCTTTTACGCACAGAAGCTTTTACACAGAGAAGTGATTACACAGAGAGCTTTAACACACAGGCGCGTTTACAGACAGAAACTTTTACACAAAGAAGTCTTTGCAGAGAGAGAGCTTCTACACACGGAAGCTTTCACACACAATTTTTTTTACACAGAGAAATCTTGACACAGAGAAGCTTTTACACCCAGAAGCTTTTTCACAAAGGAGCTTTTACACAGAGAAGCCTTTACACAGAGGAGCTTTTACACACAAGCGCGTCTATTCACAGAAGCTGTTACACACAGACGCTGCTACACAAAGAAGTCTTTACACAGAGAGCTTTAACACACAGGCGCGTTTACACACAGAAACTTTCCCACAGAGAAGCCTTTACCCAGAGAAGCTTTTACACACAGGCGCGTTTACACACAGAAGTTTTTACACAGAGAATTCTTTACACGGAGAAGCTTTTACCCGCAGAAGCTCTTACACACAGAAGCAGAGAAGTCTTTACACAGAGGCGCTTTTACACGAAGTGGAAAGGCGAAATTGGCAGCAATTCGTTAGGAAAAACCCTTCGCAGGAGCTTTTGGGAACAAGCCTTCTCCACTTGCTCCAAGAAACAAACCGCAGTCCCACGATTCCATGAACATGATCAAAAAAGCACAAGGAATACATTTCTGAAGCAGCAGGTCCTCATTCAATAGCTTCTAAGCCCACCCTGCGATGACATCGAGGGTCAAGTAATCCGGCGGAGCGGACGATGAGCGTCAGCTCTAAAATCCGGCCAGGGGCCCCAAGCCCCCGTGGCGGTGGCATTGCCGTACGGCAGTTCTCTCTCCGCAGGAGAGAGGAGCTGCGACCCCAATCGCCGACCCTACAAATATACCGCAATTTATGGTGTTTTGTGGCTTTCCCATTTTTTCGATCTTGTGGATCAAGATGGGTCAACCGAGGGAAAAATACATGGAAATGCTGCCCCCAAAGAACTTCTTTCGTGGCGCTTTGGCAGCGGCTGGGAGGGAGGAAATTAACCTTTTGCACCTGCGAAGACAGGGTTGTAAATGCAAGTTTTTGGGGTTTTTACCCGAAGTGGTACTCCACGCGAAAATGGTTGAAGGGGGAACCAACACCAGCCTGGGAGGGTCTTCGTCCTTCTGGCGGGGCGAAGGACGAGTTCCCGGTGGAAACGTGGCCACCCTTGAACTTGTTGTTTTTGGTGTTGGGGAACCTGGATTCCTGCAAGCAGGAAAGGGGGAGGTCCTTTTAAGTTTTCACAGTCGTTGAGAGCCCTCCGACTGTCGCGACGTTGGCTCAAGTGGCTCAAGTGTACCGAGCCCAACCTGAGGAGTGTGAAAAGGTGCGTCTGCCTTTTTTTTCTCTCGGTGAGGAAGGACTGGGTACACACTGCAATTGTAGAACCGTGGTTTCAAAGTAAACTCCTTGCATGGCTTGGGTGTAGAGTCCCTTTCGGTTTTTCCGTGTCTGTTTGTTTTCAGGCCACTTGCGGTCACTTGCTGCAGCGGTCACTTGCGGTCTCTTGCGGTCTCTTGCGGTCTCTTGCGGCCACGCGAGTGGCTGCAAGTGGCTGCAAGTGACCGACTTGGCAAAGTGATTCACATGCGGTCACTTGCAGTCACTTGCGATCACTTGCGGTCACTTGCGGTCACTTGCGGTCACTTGCGGTCACTTGCGGTCTCTTGCGGCCTCTTGCGGTCACTTGCGGTCACTTGTGGTCACTTGCGGTCTCTTGCGGCCTCTTGCGGTCACTTGCGGTCACTTGTGGTCACTTGCGGTCTCTTGCGGCCTCTCGAGTGGCTGCAAGTGGCTGCAAGTGGCTGCAAGTGGCCGCAAGTGGCTGCAAGTGGCTGCAAGTGGCTGCAAGTGACCGCTTTTTCGATAATCAATTGCCGCGCGTCCTGCGTGCTCAATGGGAATTACTGTGTTTCAAACACACCATGATTGTCTCTTGCGGGTCGGCAATTTGACTTGCATGCCTAGGGGAAGATGGCAAGTCGGGACGTTTTTGGGATTCAATTTGACCAAGCTTTGCAACTCCGGTTTCACATCAGTGAAAACAGTTCAAACAAGGGCTATCAAGGGCTGGCGAGGCACCGTTGAAGCTGTGGAGCTGCTGCGCTCAACCATGATTGGCTCACGTTCAGAATCCTGCGAGCTGGCTGTTGACCCACTTAGGGGCCCCTAATAGGCACTGGAAGTGGTACTGAAGCCTTCTAAGGATCTTGAGGTCTTTCTATTGGCCCCCCAAAGATTGTGACATCAAGCTCCGAACTTTCAGAATTAATCAACCCACCTCCCTCCAAGGTCATTTGCGCAGCATTCTGGGAACAATGTTTGCTCCTGAGTCTAGCATTACCCTTTGGACACCCCATTTTTTCTGAGTTTTCAGGGTCGATACTTGACATTCCACCTGAAAGGTGTCCAACCCGGCCTGAGATCCTGCTGCCTGGCTAAGCTTCTTCTTCTGCCCCCGACGGATTTCATCACGGTGGTGTGCAAAGTTGCATTCCTTAACCAAAATTGGGCCATGGGGCACACCATGACATCGACTCAGAATCGACTCAGGATCCAACCAAAAATCATCTGAAAATCAGTTCTTTCCCTTCCAGCTGCCTTCTTTTTGAGTCCGTGCAATTGGCCCCAAGTTCGCTGCCCCCTATGATTTTGTGACATGCCAGGCTGTTGTGGAAGTGTTTGTGGCTCCGTGTGCACACGGCAATACACGTGGCAAGCTGACTCCAAGAAACATCTCTCAAGATCAAAACTTGATTTCCCTCAAAAATCTCAAAAGACCAAGACTATCCAAGACTCCTTCCCTTGTTTGCAGGTACCTGAGTTCTTGAAATCCACACACATCTTGGTCTTGTTCAAGTCCTCGCAGAATCTGGTGGAGTAATCGGCAAACGCAGCCTGAAAAAAAGTATGCTGCTGGCAGCCTTCAGTCACTGACAAGATCAATCTGAAAGTCGCGGTTCCCTCCAACTTCACCTCAAATACCCTTCTAAACCATGCCAACAGCTTGGTTTTCTCTACCTACCTTCCTGTAACCACACCTGCTGCATTTTTGCACAGCGTATCCTTCTTTGCTCTGTCCACCAGTTCTTTTCACGTGACGTTTGTAGTAAAAATCAGTGATTCTTGCAAATAGTTTAATGTCAACCTGGACTAATAGACCATGGTTTATGAATTACGGAGGTACTCTGCAAATAGTTATAATATGTTATAAGTTATAATCCAATATTTGTCAATGGTCCCCGGACAATTTTCAACCGCCATCTTCCCGGTCCGGCTTGGCGCGCAGAGATGAGATGCCGTGTGCAAACTTGCAAGCTGAACCCTTGTGGCAATTGCCGCGTGCCTTGGAAGTCACGGCACAATCAGGGCCCAACAAAAAAAACAAACGTGCCACCTTTGGATCTAAGTTGATGCTGCAATGTTCTTCCCAATTTCCAGACTTCTGCCTCAAAGTGCTAGTGTACAGTGTGCCTCTGCCCTAAGACCAACAACCAGTTCACCATCAAAATCAGACCGAGCGACAAAGAATTTGCAGAGGCTAGTGCCTTCGAAGACGGATTCCGGCATCGCTCTGGATGTGACGGATATCAAATGGTCAAAGCAAACGCTGCGAGGCCGGCAGCGACAATCAATGGATTCGCTTGCAGAAAACCATATGTTGTTCCTTTTTCTCCCTTTTTCCTTTAAAGTAAATGGGGGTCCCACAAATTTTCCCATCTACTTTGGAGACAAAACAAAACTATCAGCTTCAAGCTGAGGTGCTGCCAACAGTATGATTATGCCAACAAATTTGCATGTCAACCCTTTTCCAGGCATTCTGCGGAGTGAAACCGAGTCCCACTGCCATATCCGGTCAACCAGTTGTGTTGAGTTACATACCCATTCTATCGCATAAGCAGAATCCACTAGACTATACCCATGTTATATCACCAATGTTTGTTGGTGTTTCGCCGGCAAGCCACACTGCATTCGCATCAGCTCCAGTCAGGATCCACAAGGCAAAGGGCCAGCTGTCCTTGAAAACTGACGGCAAGAAGTGGTTCGTAACCCTGCCCTAACCACAACAGGCCTCAATTGGGGTCAAAACCATGTAGAAGTGGGAAAAAAATATCAGACTTACCCTCCAGTTAACTGACATAGCCAGGGAGATCCCACCATTTGTAGATCAGTTTCCCAGGGAAACCACGGGTTGTCCACATCGTTTGGTACGTTTCCCCTAGGGCCCTAGGGTAACCAGATACGAAGTGGGATCCAACCATGGAGCTGAGGTGATGACGTCAGGTCCACAAGCTGCTAGTCCTCCGGGATGTTTGGGATGTTCTTCCCGGCCACAAAGAGTTTCTAGACGGTTCAAAATCAAATTCTATTCATTAATGTGTATATAAAGGATGTATGTATTAATATATTAGTATATATATATAAATACTTAGGTATAATAATTCTATGGTTTTGTCTCAAGATATGGGCCACCCCATTCCATTCCATCATTTTTCCTATGAAAATGGCCACAAATTGTCAAAACAAACATAGAGAGAACGTGTTTGTCTTGGATTTCTGCAATTTCCCATGTGAATCCTATAGGATCCTATATGTTCTATGGTGTTCCTCTTTTTCCTCTGTGGCGATTTTTCTTGGGACCCCCTCAGCTCCGCTTTAGGCCTGCACTCACGGCTGCGAGATCTGGACGACAGTCGCCTGAGCAGTGTCAACAGCCTGCTGCAAAAGCCCGCAAAAATTACTCGGTGTTGAATGGTTTTTATATTTTTTATGTGCTTTTTTAAGATGAACATAGATGAACTTAAATTGTTTTACATGGTTTGACATGGTTTCTCATGGGAGAATGTAATCCAAACCAGGACATAACTGAACATAAAAAAGGTTGGTTAATGGGCATTCCCATATCATGGGATTATGAAGATCCCCGATCGTGAAAAAAAATGAAGTATAACAGTATAACTATAACTGTGTAACGCATGAAATGATCATTAACCAACTTGGTCTTTTGAAACTGCCCACTTTTTGGTGAATGAAATGGTAGTCTTGGTCATCAGGAGCTACTCATGAAAAAAAAAGTAACGACGGAACATACTGCTGAAATGGACGGAAAAGAAACCATCCAGAGGTAAACAGATACATTGATAGATTGACACCTCATCCATCCAGGTATGTGTCTGTGTGGAGCTGCATCTAAAACCCTAAATTTCAACCAGCCTTTTTTTCTAGCGGGTTGGTGGGTTGCATTGGGAACCCCCATTGGGCGATTTTGGGATTAACCGATTCAGCACTGAGCCCAAGCAGCACTGTTTCATCGAGTGGAGTAGCTGCAGAGAACTGCTCCATGAGAGTCCATCCTGCAGGCGATGAATTTGGGGCAATGACCCGCGGAACCACGGGCAGCCAATGACGTTGAGAACATAATAAACCCATTATAAACCCTGTGCATATTACATATAGTTATAATTGAATATAGATGTAGATATATACTGTATATATATATATATACATGTGGGTATATATATATACATGTGGGTATATATATATATATGTTTTGTTATATATATGTATATATAAACCAAGGGTTTTCCAACGGCTGAGTAAGGATGTCACCAGATTATTGAACAGAGCCTCAGGGTCCTCCCTACGCCACTTGGACCCGAACCTTGCAGGCTGTGAGGGCAGACCCAAAGGCTCCCAAGTCAGGCCTGTGCGATGTTCGGAACCCCCGAAAAATCCTGGGCTTAGCCAAGTCTTGGATACTTGGGAAGGCAAACATTGGTGATGTCACCCTCCCTGAAAATTCAGCGTGCAGCACAGTTCGAAGCCATTCTGCCTCAGCGAAAATTGTGGAAGTTGGAGAAAGAGCGTTAAAGCCTGCGCCCAACTGATGCCTTCACCTCAGTTGCGTCAGGCTAGACGTCTGCAAGAGGTTGCAATGAGAACTCATGTCCTCACATCTAGAGAGGCAACAAGCAACAGATTGGCCATTGCTGAGTTTCTCCAGCCCTTTTTGGAACTCTCAAGACATCAACGATTGCTTTAACAGTGCTGAACTGAGGGTGCCGCAGACATTCATGGCAGAGCTGCACAAAGCCAAGTCGACATCAGATCCATCTCTACGCATTCCTGAGAGAAAGTGAGAGGCGGATGGGATGAATGCCTGTGACCTGTCTTAGCTATTTGTATCTGAAGCTTCAGGAGATTTCAGGAGTTCCAGTGAAGGGGACCCAAATTTACCAGCTGCAACAGCCATGACTTTCCCGAGCCGAGCACGTGCCAGCATTTCGAAGGCCCTTTCCCAGTTTCGCCCACTCTCCTAGGCTATGTCACGGCTGTCACGGCTACAGTATGTCCTATTAAGATTGAGGTACGGAAACAGTGGCGTCATGTCCATGTCCCACAGCTCTATGAACAGTTCTGAAGTGAGCAGAACAAGGTCTTAGGCTTAGGTGTGTGACCTTCATGTCTTGGAGCTATTCATGTGGGCCAGGACGAAGCTTGAGAAACAGCCCAATTGAAGCAACCACCACCAACAGGTAGTCTTGAAACCACCAAGAGGAATCCTGCCCCCCGTGACCCGACAAAATTGGATAACTCTGAACTAAAATCTTTCAAACCGATAGACTGAGAGTTTTGTCTCACAGCTCTTTTTTGGTTAATCCCATCCCCCTAATATCAATCAGCCCCCAGAAACCATATATTTGGGACCATTTAGAGTGGTTTTTTCTATTGGATATGGGATTTGCCATTCTAATCCCATTCTAATCCCATTCTAATCCCATGATATCATATTATATCGCCAATCATATCAATCATATATCATTAATCCCAATATATCCCAATCATTACTATATATATCCCCCTCATTTGCTCCATCTTTATCCCCATCACCGAGGATCGCAGGCGCCCAGGGCGGCATTCATGGCTTCCAAGCTACAACGGACACTTCGTCCCCGCATCACCTGGCGATCCAATTGGGCGTATCAGTTGGGCGAAAAAATACAGAAACTTTATTAATCGATGATCCAATTCATGAATATATTTCATCATATGTCAATATTCAGTATCACCTGTTCATATCTTCATTTTCATATCCAGCATCCAATATGCTCATTTCATTTTCATATCTTCCAGCTGCATCAGCTGCGGTGATAGCATTCGATGTTTTGGGATCGCCTGCAGCAGGCGCTCCACCACATCGAGCTGCTGTGCTCCACAACAGGCATTCAAGACCGCTCCGAAGGTGACCAACTGACAGTGCTGGACAGCAGCGTCTGGTGAGAAATTGGAAGTGGGCCACTGGGTCTAGGGCTTACCACATATAATATAATAATATATAATATAGTATAATTAGTATAATATATTACAACCTGATGTTTGGGGGAGAGAAAAAAAAAACTGTAGAATACTTGGAATACACACATCATGTTAATCATGTGCATATCTGCACTTTTGCTGACAACTCAGCCAGGTCCGACCCCACAAGGACAAGGTCCCCAACATCAGGTGCAAGGCCAGTGAGCCATTCTTCGGCCAAGGCCTTGGCATCTTTCTTTCCTGGGAAAAAAAATAAAAAGAGGGATGTTTTTGGTAACCCCCAAATTTGCCAAAGGGTTGGTGAATCGGAGTGTTCATTATTGGGTGTACCACACTAATAGGATCTAATAGGTGTATCGAAAACCAAACAGCCAGTTCTGTTCGCCAGATGATCTGAACTCCTGGGATCCCGGGCCATACGTTGAAGCCTGGCAAGGACCACAGCCCAAGGGGCTCTTGGATAGAGCCACTAATTCAACTGAGCCCATGGGAATTGATTAACTAAAACATGGGAATTCATTGACATTGATGAGTGTAATTTGCAAATGTCAACCAAGTTGAAATATGTCACTGCCCTTTGAGCCTATTTGACCTGGGGCATGCAGCCGAGTCGCTGGTTCAACACAAGATCCCATTTTTGGAGCCGGCCACAGGCAGCAACTGCTGCGTTCAGAGCTGGACGTTGACCTCAGGGTACTCAGAATATAACCATCAACCAATAAGAGTTGTGGGATGTTGTGGGTACTGCTCCTATGGATATGGCAAACCTTGGACATGCTGCAACTTTCCAAACAAAAAAAACTCTGATGTTACTTCGAGAGTGGTCATTTCACACAATCCTATGCCAGTGAAACAAGTGAAAAATGACGAGTTTTTGGTCCCCGGAAAGACTGGAATTCTGCAGTTTCACTTCCTTCTGACATGAAAAATTTGTGTCCTTCCCAAGTATGGATGTCCTTTTTACAGATCAAAGGATGGACATCAACTCTGTTTCCCAGAATTGTTTCAGGGGGCCCTCCATTTCGACGCTGAATTCGTGATCTCCTTTGGATTTTCTTTTGAATCAACCACGTGACTGTTGCACTTCTAGTTTTACGAACCCAATCAGTTTGTTCAAAATGGAGTGCTCTCTAAATCCAATAGTCCATCGTCTTTCCCTCTTAAATTGGCCGTCAAGATGCGAAGCCAATCCCCAAAATCTTCGCCTGTTTGCCAAGCTGCGATGTGGTTCTATGCCGCTTTGTTGCAAGATCTCAACCACAGCAAGAGCCTTTGACCATTGCCTTGGTTCAGCAAATCTAGATATGTCAAACCCAAGTTTTTTTGAGATTTGTGAAGACCCCATATGGCAAAATTGAGCGTGATTTAAGTATGGGGGTGTGCCAGCATGGTTCAAACATGTTCAAACTATCTATATAGATCTTGGCGGACATGAGATACCCTGCAAAGCAAAATGAAATTTCAGCTGCTTAGTAGATACTCCCATTTATATCCATGTATAGCACAAGATTAGTCAGCACTACCCTAGCCATCCACTTGGGGTTTTCCATCAAAAAAAAACCCTTGCACCTGGCCATGTCGTAGGCACTTGTGACGCTGGTATATGTGACCTTCCAGGTGCAGCACATCAACCATGGCCATTTTTTGCACCAGGCTTTGAATCAAAGCCTCAGCAGTTTGTCATTGCATTCCTGGTTTGCAAAGTTTCGAAATATTTCGAAATCTCCAAATCGGTTGCTTTCCCAGTGAAACCTGTTGATTTCTTTTTGCGAGGATTGTGGAGTCTCAATGCTAGGACTGTCGCATATGGCAAACACTTTCTTCACCTCGTCTGGAGCTGCGAAAAGCCTTTCAGCAACCTCATCGGATTCTTGTTTGGGCCATGGATCTCTGTACTTCATCTGATAGGCATTGAAGCTAAACTTCTGGTGCCCTAAAAACGATGATCTTGGTATGTAGTCCTTCGTGGAATCACTCGTGATGCAGAATCTAAAGTCAATTCATCCCAATTCGGAGGGGTCATCTGCAAGGCAAGAAAGAAATACAACACCTGGTCATCCCATCTACGCCTGCCATTGACCCGCACGTCCACAGGATGCCAGCAATACATTCTTGCAAGCTGTAGAGAAGTGGCCAACCTGGGCCAAGCCGTGGTGTTCTGAGGACAAAATTCTCATCTTAAGGGGCCGTGGAGGGGACCCAAATGGACAGCAAAGAAGTGGAACTGGGCACTGAAACAGGTAGCCTCTGGTATCAAACATCGCCAAGCAACAAGAATTTACCATTTGTTTTGGCACTTGGATCTAAGATTTCATCCGGTTTTCTCATGATCCAAAAAAAATAGGATTGTCCTATGGAAAATCTATGGCCGCACCAGGAATATACCAAAGCGCCAGCGCCGGACCTTCAGGTCCACCGCCAAAGCCATTTCCCAGAAAGATCCGAAGGCACAAAGACCAGAAATCTCAGTCACCTGGAGATGGCTATGCTCTGGGTTTTTATCTGTCCTTGCCATGTCCAACCCTAAAGATACATCAAAACCGGAAACCCAACTTTTTCTGGGCACATTTTTCCTGGTGCTAAACGTAGGGAATGAGGGAATGATCCATAAGTATTCATAGTAATCCCCCTAATCCCATCCATTTCATACGTTTAGCACCAGTAATACTAGTAACTAGTATGGCACCTCATCGGCTTGCACCAGGAAACGCCTCATGGAGCCTAAGAGCAACCAGCTCCTGGCCTGGGCTGAACCATCAAACTTTGGATGCAGTCGGGATAGCATGGATTATGATAAATTATAACTAATATCCCAATATGTTGCTAATAATCGATAGCCCAATCATAATAATCGACTAACCAAGAAAATTATAGCAACAAAAAACATGTCAATGGGACAAACATAATGATAATCCTGTGGTTCCGCTACTGCTCAAATTTCGAAGGGCTACGGTTTTCCAAGGTCACAATTGTGTGTCCTGAACCGTGTGGAAGCATGCATTTCCTAGAGGCCAGCTTTCAATGGCTCAAAGTTAGTTAATTGATTCAAAGGAGAAGAACATGTTCATGATATTTATCATTGGTAACAATATCCCGAAACCAATAAGCCCAAAGAGTATCCCCAACAGCCAGAAACAAAAACAGTTGCCAAACACGCAATGAGTGAAGTATGTTTATTGCCCCGCCCTTCTTACTCTAGAGGTCCGGCGTGCAAGGCGCAATCACAGTGCAAACACTTTATGAAAAAACGCTTTTCCAAAAGCGTTTGCAATACTGTGGCCAATATTCCCGAAGCTCGTGCGAAGGGTTTTTTCCCAAAGAACTGCTGTCCGCCTCACTCTTCACTTCATCTACCTAACATACATCATCCACATCTCTTATGTCCTTTACATCACCTACATCTTCCATACCATCTTCTACACCATCTTCTCTAGATCTACATCTACATCTAAACCATCATCATCATCATCACCTGCATCTGTCTCACCTACATTATCTACACCACCTACACATTTTTCCATCAACCTCATCTATATGATATGCTTTATCTACAACACATACATTGCCTACATCATCATCATCATCACCATCTACATCACTACATCCTCTACATCACCCACATCACCTACATCTTCTGCACCATCTTCCCTGCATCATCATCATCATCATCATTATCATCATCACCACAACCACCAACATCATCACCATCATCATCATCATCAATCTCACCTACACGATCTACATCACCTACACAAACTTTTTCCATCAACCTCATCTACATTACATACATCATCTACAACGCATACATGACCTACATCATCATCTATATCACTGCATCCTCTACATCACCTACATCTTCAATCCTACCTAACCTTACATCATTTACAACATCATCCTCATCATCTACAACATAGACAACATCACCTACATCAGCTACGGGTGATCAACTTCTAGGGAACTCCTACAAAACTTGAAAAATGACATTTACACAGGAGTTGACTTGCAGGTGATCCACTTCTACTTGAACTCCTACAAGACTCCTGCCTGCAAGGTCATTTGCACAGAAATGGTTACACAGGAGTTCAGCTAACTTCCAGGTGATCAAATTGTATCTGAACTCCTGCAAAATCAGACTTCTCCAGTTCTTCTATTTCTCTCTGGCGGCAGGGACAGCCAGGCGGTGGCTTATGAACGTTACCCTCTGCACTTTGTCGGACACCCAAACGTGTGGCGAAATGCGGGTCTTGTTTGTCCTTGGTCAACCCTCTGCGGAGATCGTGCGTGTCGGATGGGCAAACATGTGGTGTGGTGAAATGCGAAACTTCTTTGCCCGCAGCAACCGTCTGCGGAGATCGTGCGTTTCGAACGCCCAAGCATGTGGGGGAATGTGAATTTCGTTTGGGCACGGGCAACCCTCTGCAGAGATCGCGCAGGTCGGACATCCAAACACGTGACAAAATGCAAATTTGGTGGGACCCGGCGCAGCCCCTTCGCACGAAATGATGGTCAACCGTCAAAAACTGGTGTAAAACCGCGACTTTGAAAGTTCAGATGCAAGCGTGGCATGAAAGTCAAACGGCAATAACTGTGGCAAAACTGAGATTTTTTAACGTCAGATGCAAACGTTCAAGAATTGGTGTAAAATTGCGACTTTATCCATTTTGAAACGTCAGGCACAACCGCTTCGCGCAAAATAAAACTTGTGTAAAATTGCGATATTAAAAGGTCAGGCGCAACCCTTTCACACAAAATTATGGCCCAACGTCAAAAATTGCGATTTTCCAACTCCGGATGCAACCCTTTCGCACGATATGATGGCCGAACGTCAAAATCTTACGTAAAATTGCGATTTTTTGAAGTGTGTAAAAGCTGCTCCGTGGAATCGGTTTTTCTGTGGGAAAGCGTCTGTGTGCAAAGGCTTCTCTGTGTAAAAGCTTCTGTCCGTAAAAGCCTCCGTGTGTACAAGCTTCTGTGCGTAAAGGCGTCAGTGTGTAAAAGCTCCTGTGCTCAAAAGCTTCTCTGTGTAAAAGCTTCTGTGGAAAAGCTTGTGTGTGTGTGTAAAAGCTTCTGTGTCTAAAAGGTTTTCTGTGTAAAGGCTTCTCCGTGTCAAAGCTTCTGTGATCCTCTGAAAAACCAGCTGTGTCTAAAAGCTTCTGTTTGTATAGACGTGCATATGTCAAAGCGTCTCTGGGCAAATGCTTCTGTGTGGAAAGGCATCTGTGTTCAAAAGCTTCTGTGTGTAGAAGCATCTGCCGCATCTGTGTGAAGAACTTTTGTGTAAATGCCTCTATGACTCTATGTGTAAAGACCTGTCTGTGTAAAAGCTTGGGCATTTGCGTGTTTAAAGTTTCTGTGCGTATAAGATTGTATAAGCTGCTCTGTGCAAAGGCCTCTCTCTGTGTAAAAGCTTCGGTGTGTAAAAGCTGCTCTGTCTAAACCCTGCTCTGTGAACAAGCTTCTATGCGTAAAAGCGTCTGTGTGTAGAAACTCTGTGTGTGTAAAGGCGTGTGTGTAAAGCTTTTGTGTGTGTGTAAAGCTTTTGTGTGTGTGTGTCAATGCTTCTGTGTATAAAAGATGCTCTGTTTAGACGCTTCTCTGTGTAAAAGCTTCTCTGTATAAAGCTTCCGTGTGAAAACCTCTGCGCGTAAAAGCTTCTCTGTGTAAAGGCCCCTCTGCGTCAAAGCTTCGGTGTGTAAAAGCTGCTCCGCGTAAACGCTGCTCTGTGAAAACAAACCTGAGTGTAGAAGCTGGTCCGCGCAAAGGCTTATCTGTGTGAAAGCTGCTGTATGTAAAGACCGTTTGTGCTCAAAGTTCCTTCCCGCAAACGCTTGTCTGTGAAAAAGCTTCTCTGTGCAAAATCTTCTCTGCGTAAAAGCTTCTGTGTGTGTAAAAGCTGCTCTGTTCGGAGGCTTCTCTAAGTAAAAGCTTCTGTGTGTAAAAGCTTCGCTTTGTAAAGGCATCTCTGTGCAAAAGCTTCTGTGTAAAGCTTTCTTGTGAAAAGGCTGTAAAAATTTATGTGTCTAAAAGCTTTTTTTTGTAAGGCGAGTGTGCGCAAAAGCTCCTGTGTGTAAAAGCGTGGGCATCTGCGCGTTAAAGTTCCTGTGTGTAAAAACTTCTTTGTGAAAAAGTGTCTGTGTGTAAAGCTGCTCTGTGTAAAGGCTTCATGTGGTAAGGCTTCTTTAGAAAAGGCTTTTCTGTGTAAAAGCTTCTGTATGTAAAAGTGTCTGTGTGCAAAAGCGTCTGTGTAAAAGCTGCTCTGTGTAAATCCGTCTCTGTGTAAAGGCTTCTGTGTGTAAAATCTTATCTGTGTAATTTTTTCGCTGTGTAAAAACAACATGTCTTTTGATTCTGACTGTCGCTCAGGTGCCAGCCCTGGAGCAAACCCTCTGCGGGGACAAAAAAAGGCATGAAATCGTGGATAGATGACATTTGACTCGCGTCAGCTATCATTCATCATCATCTCCATCGCCATTCATCCTCGTCATCGTCATCGCCATCATCATTGTCGTCATCATCATCGCCATCATCATTTTTGTTGTGTATTATCTTCTCGTCTCCTCCCTCCTGCTTTCTTTCGTGCCACGCTGTCGTCTAGTGTTTTTATCCATGTGTGAGTGCCGTATCATTTTTTGAAGCAAAACTAGTTCTTCAATCTCTCCGTTCCGTTATTACAACAATTCTTCAAACTTTGCAGTATTCTGTTGTTCGAGTGGATGTGCAACACGGCTCGCGAAATCGAAGCAGGCACTCAGCCACTCAGCCACTCTGCCAGAGTGGCTGCCGCAGCCACTCAGCCACTCAGCCACTCTGGCAGAGCGGCTGACGCAGCCACTCAGCCACTCAGAGTGGCTGAGTGGCTGAGTGGCTGAGTGGCTGGTCGAGTCGCTCTTACCAGAGCGGGTGAGGGGCTGAGTGTCTGCCCTAGCCACTCTGGCAGAGCGGCTGAGTTTTACCTTTAAATATTTTTTGGAAATAAAGAATGTATCAACTTGGTATGTATGATTGTTATGTAGAGCAACAAAGCTATTGTAGCCTCTCGGGTTCTTTTTTATCTCTACATTCTGTTTGAAGAAATATTCAACATCTTTTATAGTAAATTTGTCTTTCTCTCTTGCATCCTTCAAAGTAGCGTTTTTGGAACCAATCCCTGCTTTATCGAAATATATGTTTCCTATGATTTCTTGCTTACTCATATCAATATTATTAAGACTATTATTTTGACAAATTAAACTTTCAAAATAACAATCTAATGTGAAGAAGAATTGCAGTGGCAACAATAAGCCTCGCAGTTGTCAATAGAATGGCACAGTCCATTATCAACTCTATGTGCTGTAAAGTTACTTGACAATTTGCCACCTCTGGTATCAAGATTAAATTTAACTCCACAGTTTGCACAACAACCCTTGAACATCTTCAAACACCAATGTTCATCAATGTATTCATCAACTATTTCTCTTCCTCCTTTTCTGTCTTGTCCTTTGTAACCTTCAACCTTGTTTTTAAAATAGTTAACTACCAAATTCTTAAACATCTCTTCGCCGGCTTTATCATGTTTGAAAAATATATACATGATTGAAATCTGTTGCTCTGGTTACAGCACACCATAGCCATTCTTTGCTCACCAAATAGTCTTTGTTCCAATCGTGAATTGTTTTGTTGTCTCTTATTGTTGTTCCTTGTCTGCTGTGACAAGTTGCACAGTAAGCATACCTAAAATGTTTGTCTATTGTATCTTCAAAGGTT